AGTAGGGTTCTGCAAATCAGCCTGGAAAATAAGGGCAGAATGGTGGGTTGGGACTGAGAAAGGAACTGATGTAGAAGCAAGGACTGTTGGGTTATTTGTCTACCTGAGGGAATCAGCAGGACATATACGTGCTCACAAGCATATGTGTGTAGCCACACATGCACACACGTGCACATAGGTATACACATAGTGCCTGAAGTGCAACAACCAGCTAAAATATAACATGATTGAGGACTGAGCTGAGCCAGACTTTAACTGTATCTGCTTCCTTTGCCACATCTGTTTACAAACAACTTACTTATACCATAGAATATCACTACTAGTCACTATTAACACACACAAAGCTTTGAAAACAGGGCCTTATAATAGTATATATTCTTTATTGACTTTATATTAGGAATTTATACTAAGGCTATAACTGAGTATACCCAGATTTGTCGACAAGAGTACTGCTATAGACTGGATGACTGTGTCCTCAAGGCATGGTATTAGGAGGTAGGACCTGTGAGGGTGATAAAAGAGACCCAAGAGAGTTCCCTTGCCCCCTTCTCCAATGTGAGGACTGAAGAAGTCAGTCTACAACCCCAAAGGGGGCTCTCACCAGAACCCAACATGCTGGTATCCTGATCTTGAACTTCCAGCCTCCACAACCATAAGAAATAATGTGTGTTGTTTATAAGGCACCCAGTCTATGGTATTTTGTTATAGCTGCCCAAATATCCATCACAAAGTAATCTATATATATATAAAAGGCTAATATGCTAAGTGTCCCTCTGCCAGTCTGACCAGTTGCTATGATGCACACTGACCACCAGGGGGCAGACACTCAACGCAGGAGCTGCTGTGATGTGCATTGGCCATTTATAAACAGCAGCATGGACCTGGTGTTGACAAAGCAAGACTCAGCTTCCCTCAAGTGGGACACAGGCACCACCACCACCCCAGAGTGACAGCCCACCAAAGCACAGATGATGCTGCCAAGACCCCATGGTGCAAAATGTGCAGCCTACAGGCCAGCCCAGCCCAGAAATGGTGACTGTGGATGCTGGATAGTAATATCACATAGCAGCACCTGGCTTCCTTTCCCTAGTGACTAGCCTCTTTGCAGTTTCTTCAGCCCAAGAACATGACTTGCTTTATAGCCAGGTAGAAACATTTACACTTTAACCAAATGTCTGCGAAGCATTTTCTCATGCCTCATCTCATTTGATCTTCACAGAAGTCCTGGAATAGGTAGACAGCAGACTCGGTGGAATCCTATTTTCTTTTCATTAGCCAGAAAACAGATTTAGAAAGCTTAGAACCTTGACCCAACTGAAAAGAAGTAAAAAAAAATGGTGGACCTTGAAAATGATATTAGGTTTTCTCACTATGCAGAATATAGTCAAACACTGCTGCAGTTAAATATTTTACCCTTTGTTCTCCCTACATGATCTACAATAATAATCTGCTTCATGTTGATATTTACTACTGTGTTGCTAACAATTACCTAAAACAGAAGTTGGGGTGCTTCACTGGGCTGGAAAAAGGTTAGCTAAATCAGAAAGCAGGTCTAATTAAGCAAGTTTATTTTATATCTATAAAAAGCTAAGTTGACTCATGCATTCACAATACATATAAAGCTCTCACTGGCTCCAATCTTATGCATGTGTTTTCATCTGTCATTGTCAGTTGTGAATGTGGTTGATACTTCCATTATAGAGAAAGGGTGAATAATGATATTAAAACATTTCTTCTAATTAATTTTCTTTCAATGTGCACAAATTTGTGCATTTGGTCACTAGTTTATAATAGAAATATCCAATGGAATAGGATTAAATCACGGTACATCATAAAAATCAAATATTGAGCTATTAAAAATTACATTGTTAGAGAATATTAATTTATTTAAGCAGACAAGAAATTTTATTTGACACTGTATAAAATATGATAAACAAAGTGGAAAAATACAGCCATTTATAAAACTATAGTCATAATATTCTTGCATTTTTAAAAAATGTATAAATATGTGCATTAAAATGTCTAAAAGATAGAAGGCAAACTGTTAGCCTATGTCATATTGGTAGGGCTATAGATCATTTTAATATTTTACTTTCATTTATAATAAACATGTATAAATTATATAATAATATAGGTAATACTTTTTTTCAATTCAAGCCAATTATATTTTTTACCCATACACAATAAATCTGATATTAAAACCTATAAAGATTTTGAAATTAAATACCATTTGATTTCTTATCAGCTGTTTATGGCAGGTCCAATTCCCTATAATCTAAAACCTTAGCCATTACTGTTATGTGTGTTTTTAATCTGTACCAATTTGATGGAAAGCAGGTGAATAGTCACTCCATCTTTTTAATCTGCCCTTCTATGATTTTTCTAGTGAGAGTGAATGTGTTTTTAAATTTTTTAATTGATTTTTAGACAAAGAGGAAGGGAGAGGGAGAAAGAGAGAAACATTGATGTGAGAGTGAAAAGTACATCGGCTGGCTGCTGCACACCCACTACTGGTGATTATGCCCACAACCCAGGCATGTGTCCTGACTATGAATCAAACTGGCAACCTTTTGGTGCATGGGATGATGCCCAAACAACTAAGCCACACAAGGCCAGGGCAAGATTGAATGTGTTTTCATATGACTACCAGCCATGTATGGTTCTTTTGTGAGTAAAGGATCATGCTCTTTAGGATCACAGAAACTTCCCCCAAATTTGGATGCTTAGATTCTGAACAGCTTAGCCCATATATCCAGCCCTTGAATGCCACCCTCAGCTTCACCCTGGGGTTGGATCAATGGTTCAGCTTTGGCTACACATTGCAAGGACCTAGGGCTTTAACCATACTGACATTTGGGTCTTACCTCTAGAGTTTCTGATTTAATTGGTCTGGGTGCTGCCTAGGCATTAGCATTTTAAGCTCCCCAGGTCATTCTAAAGTGACATCACAGACACAGGAAAACTGCCTCCCATTAGCACCTGCACCTACTGTGAAGAACAGGAAAATGAGTTGCATATGAAAGACAGAGATTAGGAGAAAACAAATAGATTCATGTCCAATGTCATCTCATTCATTTAACATATTGACTCAATAAATATTTGGGCATCTACTATGATAATAATGGCACACATTTTTGAACATTTACTATAAGTCAGGCTCTCTTCTAATCCCTTTACAGATATCTCTTCCAAAAACTTTAGAAGGCAATATCCTCCTTATCCTCATTTTACAGGTAAGCAAACTGAGGCACGGAGAAATGAAGTCATTTGCTTATGGTCACACAGCAAGCAAGTGGTGAGGAAGGATTTGAACAAAAAACTGGCTAGCTTTGAAGTCCTTGTCATAACATCACAGGCCAGATGCTGTGAAGATATAGTTGATATATCACAGAAAATAAAACAGGTAGCAGGCCCTACTCTCACATAGCTTAAATGTTACTACTAGAGGACTAGAGAGTAAATGAATAAACACAGGGGATCTAAAGTAAAAGACCAGGTGCTATAAAAGAATATAACCATATACCCATGTTCATAGCAGCATTTTCACAATAGCCAAAAGACGAAACAACCCACACCTCCATTCATAAGTGAATAAAGAAAAGTGGTATATACTTACAATGGAACATTATTCAGTCTTTAAAAAGAAGGACATTCTAACACAGGCTAAAACATGGATGAACCTTGAAGACATTATGCTAACTGAAATAAACCAGCCTAAAAAAAGGACAAATACTGTCTGATCTGATTTACATGAGGAATAAAAGAGTCAATTCTTAGAGATAGAAAGAAGAATGGTTGAGTTATTTAACGTACTCTTTAATGAGTACAGAGTTTCCACCTTGGAAGATGAAAAATGGTCGGAGATGGGTGGTGATGATGGTTGTATAAGAATGTGAATGTGTACTTACTGCCACTGAGCTAGCTGTACACTTAAAAATGGCTAAGGCGCTAAAGTTTGTTATGTATCTTTTACCACAAATTTTTAGATTAAAAAAAAATAATATATTTTTAAAGAGCATAACCAGAGGCCCCAAATTAGATTGGGGAGGAAAACAAGAAAGGTTTATTTCAGGAGGTGACATTTGAACTGAGACCCAGGGATCAGAAGAGCGGAGAGGGGCTATGCTGAACAGAAAGAACAGTATGTGCTCTGGGGCAATAAGAACTGGGGGAGAAAGAGGTGTAAGTAGAAGTGAATTCCTGATACGCTGGGCACACGTAGAGTCGATCTGTGGGCCCAGCAGCAAAGTAAGGTGTAGAGTTAGAGTCATGAGGTCCTTCTTCCAAACTCCGCAAAAACAAACAAACAGACAACAACAAAAACTCAACTCCATTCTAGAAGCCAGAAATAAACCTGACACAACCAATAATGGCAATCACAGTAGAAGAGGAGGGAGAATTTCCCAAGTAGCTGAACAGGCACCGGCCAACTGAAAAGGGGCTTGAAGTAGGCAAGAGGTTACAAGGCCTTTGGACTTTTGGACTAGAGTTGTGATGTTGAGATAATGCATTGATCATCAGTGTGCCTGTCACAGCATAGCTGCCCCATACATAATAGGAAAAGTCGGGGGCATTTTTTCATGAGGAGGGTTAAAACTACTTATGCTTAACCCTGAATGATGAAAGAAATATATTGATTGGGATCATGTCCTAAGGGTAACTGAGGTTGTGACATAAGGACCAGAGAGAGAGGGAGTTGCATTCATTTGGGGGCAGGAATCCGAGGAAGATACAGCATTTCTTTTCTGTAGCCCCAGTCGACACACTGAACATTTCAAGCATGAGAAAAGCTGGAATTCAGCGAGGGCATTTTGACAGCACTGAAATTTATGTCTGGCTGGGAGGAGATAGTACCCCACATTTTTAAACAGTTTTGGTCAGAGGAGAAAAATGTAAAATTGGTCCCTAGCTAATGAGGGCTGGTCTTCCTTTTATGGCGCTCTGGTGTGCAATTAAGGTTAGCTTCATGTAAACTGCCAGTGCACTCAGACTTTTAACAGCCTTATGTATGTCAGGAAGGAAAATAAATAGTCCCCTGTTTTTGCTTTATGTGGGGAAATTATTGAGATAAACAGCTTGGGCCTGGCAGGTGTGACTTCTTGCAGCTTAACGTGATGGATTCGCTAATGGCAGCTGAGCTGATAGCACCAAACTGTGGATGGATGAGAACCATGGTCAAGATTCTGACAGTTATGTACATGCCAGGGCCTGGCAGGGTCTGACTTTTGACCGTGAGGCACTCAGGCTTCCAGCATTGGGGAGCATGGAAGGAATCTGGAATTCAGAGGTGAGTGAGGCTGGTTCTGCAGAGTAGGTGGAACCCTTGAACTCCAGAGGAACCCAGGAGTGGGGACAGGGAGGCTTAGCAAGGTGAGGGGACTTCTGTACCAGCCGTTCAGTACTGGACATCATGTCTGCCGGCCATGCTATTTCCACTATCCTAAAGTGCTTCTAAGTACCCTGCATAATTGTGAAATGATGAATTCAGACCTGAAGTCCTGGTTTTGCCCCTGCCTCCTTGCCTCTGGTCATCTTCTTCTGTGGCTACCCCTCCACTGTAATCTAGATGTAAGCATGTCTCATATGTCTCATACTCTTTCCCCTATTTAAAACTCTTCAATGGCTCCCCTCTGTTATTAACATAAATTCTTAACCTGGCTTAGAAGAACCTTCACAAGCGTGGCCTATGCTTACTTCTTCAGCTTCATAATCCCCAATTCCCACCCACCCAGACTCTGTGCTCTAGTCATTCTGAATAATATGCTCTTTCCCAGATAAAGTACATGATGTTGGTGAAAATGTAGAATTCAGAGAGACAATAAATAATTTCTAGTATAAGTATGTTTCATGAAATATTTGGGACATACTTATCCTAAAATAGTATTTGCTATCTATCTGAAATTCAAATGTGACTGGAAGGCCTGTGTTTTAATTTGCTAAATATGCATAAACATGGCCATCCTACTCTAACTGGACCCTGCTCTTCTTCACTTTGGGTCTATGTTAAATGTACCATCCTTTAGCTAGAAAGCCATGCATTTTCTCTGTCATTGATTGACTAACTCATTGCGTCAGGGCCCTCGAAGCTCCATGTCCATCTTCCATAGTGTCAACTTATTGCTGGGCTGTGGCTACCACGCCAGCAACTGTATTTTCAAACTCCCTGTATCCAAGTGGGACCATGTGACTAAATTTTACCAGGGGAATGTGAGCATGTCATTTCTAGGCCAAAATGGTTAAGAGGCAGGAATATCTTCTCCCTATTTCCTCATCTGCCAACTGGAAGTAAAAGACTCCAAGATCCTAGAAAATGGTAAAACTGTAAGATGGAAGGAATCTGAGTCCCTGAATCACTGGAAGGGCACTCCCAGGCCAATCACATTGATAGTTACACGATGAGAAGTAAACTTCTACCATGTTGTCACTGAAATTGGAGGTGTGTTTGTTATAGCAACTAGTATTATCTTAGAAAATATTACCATTCTTTGTGTCTTAGTGTTGATATCTCTTCTTCATAGATGGTCTCTCAAACTGGATTAGTTGCCCCTTTTATGTGCTCCCATAACACACTCATTTTTACTCCGTTAGCAACCTCTACTATGCTATATTGTAATAGACTATTTACATGTCTATGCATTTTTTCCTACTGGGCAAAATATTTCTTGGAAATAGAGACCATGATTGTGTTGGCCACAGTTATATCTGCCAACCATAGCATTGCTGAATGAATGACTACGCAGAATCTCTTCAATTCAATTGGCTGGGTTTCTTATATTTTAAATTGAAATGGCAGACAAATGATTTCTATAATCTCCCCAAATCTTTAATTCAGGAGTTATGACTATGACTGAAGTAGAAACCTACTGTCTTTTACTTCCCAGAAACAAAATTTTCCATTAGGGAATGGCACTCCTTTCTTCCCATGTGGTTCTCATGAGATGAGAATCATTGCAATTCATGGCACCCAGCCTCCAACCTCTCACCACCACAGAAGGGGTCAGTTGGCCCAGGCCTGACTCGTGTTCCACCCTCTTACTGCAGTGAATGGTCAGGGTCAGGAACAAGACCCAATGGGAATTTCCCTTTAGTTTATAAATGCATGTTGAAATACAGGTGCTATTTTTTTTTCACTGGGGTTCCTATGCCAGAAGGATGTATGAGGGAGCCTCTTAGTGGCAATTTGCTTCATTACTAGAGAGTGAGGGTCTACAAAATGAACCTAGCATACACAGGAAATCAGAGCCAACAAATGAAGAGAAAAACAGATTCCCAATAATATTTTCTGAGTTCCTGGATCTAGCTGTGCCTATAGCCAACTACCTCTGGACTTCCCACCATGTGAGCCAATAAACGCTGATTTTGGCTTAAGCCAAATCTTAGAGTCTGTCACATGCATCTTCACCTCACCCCCAAAAGTCTTGACTAATGTAAAAATCATAGTTTTAAAAACAAAATATACCCAGCACAATACTTTGCTTTACATGGAATAAATATAAAATACACTTTATTGAATTGATTGGGGTGCAATAACAATAGAGAAAATTGGTGTCTTAATATTTAACACAAAACATAAGGCTTGTGTCTGCACTATTGTCTATATAAGTGAATTAACTTACAAATGCATTTTAAAAGTTCAATTTTCTTCAACCCTCAAGAACAGTTAAATAATGTAATTTTGAAGATTTGGAGAGTCCTTGTCCTTATTTTCACACACTACTGGAGGAGGGTAGTTTTTAAACAAAATTTCTAATGATTTTCTATAAGGAAACCAAATTAAGACAGCTCCCAGTTTATGATAATCCCCTAACAATCAAATCTGTGTCACCCCCACTCCCCACCAAAGGCCAATGACCCAAGAGTAGAAATACCTTACCAATTTGGAGCCATCAAATCTGTCTACCTAGAATTTAAAGCTTGAACCGAGAGACACAGACTGCAATTTGGGTTGCTAGGTTGCAGGAAGAGCCCATCCAACTGAAATGGAACATAAACTTTCACTTCTGTGTTCCAGTGGCTGTATTTGCTTCCACTTCTCTGACTCTTGGTTGTCTATTTTCTCCTCCAGTCCTACGAGCCTCTCAACATATTTGCCCAGAGTGTTTTTGCTTTAGTTAGACAGTGTCAGGTGCTAGGATGGCAATGACAGAAGTGTCATTAATTCAAATGGAGTGAGAGAAGAGGGCATCTTCAAGTGGGAATCAGATATCATTGCTTCCAGGTCCATCAACTCTGCCCTCCCACTGGTACCCATCCTGACTGGAGCGCTCCTCTGCCCTCCACCATGTTGACAACCAGCCCACATCCCACCATCATCAGGGTCCTGAAATCCAAGCCCCAACTCCCCTCAGGCATGTAATACTTTCCAGAGTTGCAACTCATTAGGTTATTCCGCATGGTCAACAGAATAGGTTAGCTGTTCTGTTGAGCTGCTCTTGGTCTCAAACTTCTCCACTCAAAAGTAGGGTTTTCATTTGACCTTTGCAAACTTCAACATTTCATGCTTATTACAAAATAAAAGACCAACCTTACTCCAGAAATAAATTCTGCTTCTATCCTTATGGAGTAAATAATTGTGGGCAGCTTTAAACAATCAGTTTGTTGCTGCCTCTAGCCTTAAAGAGTTCAGAGCCATTGGAAGTCAGATGCATAGAACACCTAGTTTGCAGCCCTTTCTTGGAACACTGTGTGATTGCTTGCTTCCTAATTTTCTTACGAAGTCATTTCCCTTCCTTGAAAATCTGGTGCCTCCCTGGATGCTTCTAGCTTCTGCTATTGGTCACATGACACTGTAGATCATCTAGATCTTTTGTTTCCCTCCAAGTTAGATTAGTAACTCAGAGCCAAGGAGAATAATCCAGAAGAGAAACACTCCCTCCAGGCATCTGGTGTTCCTCACGCAGCTGAGGTAGACAGGCCACGTGGCAACAGGCAAAGAGGAAACAGACCTCCATTTGGGTGGTCTGACGCTTGACTGTCCATTGTAGGCCAAGGAGCAGTAACAGCTGTCCAGCAAGGAGGCCAACATGTCCCCAGTGCAAAAGTGACAAAGCAGTCCACCCCTTAGGCTGCTTCTTCCCTCAGCACCAGCCAACTGGCTGTCTTTCTTCACCAAGTAGGTCCACATTGAGAGAGTTGGCAACAAAAACCTCTTGAAGGCCCTGTAAGTCCATACTTGGACAGTCATTGTGGCTGAGGGGCCAATCAATCTGCAAATGGAGAAACTCACTCAGGCATCTTAAGATTTAGAAAAGAAATGGAACCGATGAATGGCTAATTGGCTACGCCATAGTATAAAGAGGTCAGGGCAGCAGTCCCTCTGCTCCATCAGCTGTCTGGAAATCACTTCATATTTGGACTACTTTCCCAGCTATAAATTGAGATGGTTTAACTAGATCTTGGAGTCAGGATAGTGAAGAATGAGAGGTCATCTAAACCAACCCTCTCATATTACAAATGAGTAAACAGAGGTTGATTCTTATATTCAACTTGTTTCTTGAGCCCTACTATGTGCCAGATGAGCTACTAGGAGCTAGGGATCACATATTGAGCAAAGGTACACACAGCCCCTCACCTCACGGTGCTTGCAATATGGTGGGTAAGAGAGACACCAATTGAATAATCACATGTAGGTGTATTAACACAAATTAATGAGCTCTGTGAAGAGGCAGACAGTGTATAAAGCAGCACTATAAGGATGTCTTTTCAGATTTAAGACCTGAGGGAAGAATAGGTTTTAACTAATAAAAGGGGTGGAGGAGAGAGGCATAGATGGAGTATATGCAAAGGGCCTGAGGCAGGAGAGAGCAGAGGACTTTCAGGCAAGTAAAAGCAGCCAGGGGGTGATGGGGCTAGAACAGAGAAGAGGGCAAGAGTGAACACTGAGTAGGCAAGTGGCAATTTCTGACCTTGGGGAGAACTTTAAAAGCAAGAAAGCAGGTGGATTGGGCAAATTCAGTAGACCAAAGGTACCAATTAAGTAAAATAATATAAAGGATCTAAAGGGAGATGAATTGAATAAGCAAGTTAGCAGGATAGGAAGTTACAGTGAAAAGAGGATGTTTGAATTAGTAATCTGGGAATTAGAGAAGATTCAAGTTATAACTAGATCAAGGATGTGAATAAGAAATGACACAGCTAAGGTGGAATGGGAGAGAAAGTCAAGGAAACTTGTAATATCAAGGCTGAAGTCATTCCAGATGAGTCAGGACTTGGGAAGGATAGAGACATTGAACAAGGAGTCAGCATGTTTAGAAAATGAAGAGTGCCCAACAGGTCAGTAGTAAGAAAAAATGAGGAAGAGAGAACCTTACTTAAATGGAACAAAACTCAAAGGGTCATGATTTTTAACAGCCATCTCTAGACCTGGTAAGTGTAGGGTATGTTTGAAAATAAAAGAGACATTAAAAAAAAAGGAAGAAAAATAAAAGAGCTATCACTTTTGAGGGCTGCAAAGAAGCATGTCCTCAGAAGCAGCAGGTTAGTGGATGAGGAGCTCAGAAAAGTGATTGGATACAAAAGGGAGTTGGATTTTGAAGATATTTCTAGAGGTCAGAGTAGAAGGCATTGGGAGGTGCAGAGGGAGAGGAGGTCCACAGAAGCAAAGAAGTACACGCTCCCTCTGGGACAAGGGTGGAGGAAGTGATAAGTGGTCTGAAACTTTGAGCACCAATTAAAAACAGGGATGAGAATACAGATTAAATTTGGTATTTTTTAAGAGGCAGGGCTCTGGGTTAAATGGCCAGAGAACTTGGCTCACTTCACCAACAGAAGTTGGGAGATGTCCATGGTCTCAGAGCCATATAGTGTCAAAGCTGGGACTGGAACCCATTTTTTCTGAATCTCAGCTCTAAAATCAGTAATCCCACAACCTGAGAGCAAGCAAACTATCTCTCATTGGTCTTCTTGTGTTAGTCCATGTGTTCCAGGGGCCAGCACCAGTCCTATCCTGTTTGGAGGGCTCTCCCTGGAGTTGGGCCACTGGATGGTACCGGTTCAGTCATATACCTCCTTCATATGCGTGACACTTTACAAAATGGGCAGCTGGCAGGGCATGGGCTTGTCTTCACCTCACTGACAGATTGTTTCAGGAAGATTCTTTCTAGAAATTAGGATTAAGTAAAAAGCTTTTCCTTCTATCCTTGCTTCCATTAAACTATGAAAAATCTTAATGCCATTAATTTCTTTTTTGTCTTATTCTCCAGGACACTTATACTTAAAGCTAAGAACCCAATTGTCCTACATTCTTAAAATGATTATTTCTCTTCTAAATCAGCTAAAAACAATTTCATTGAAAACCATTTTATGTTATATGTATCTTTAAACTATAAACCACACTTAAAATTATTTTTAATAATAAGCAGAACATACATTTTTTTCTTTTTTAAATTTATTTTTATTGTTGAAAGTATTACAGATGTCATTTCCCCCCTACCCCCCATAGACCATCTATTATACTTCCCTCTCCTATCTCCTCCCCAGGCCTTTACCCCACTATTGTCTATGTCCATGGGTGGTGTATATATGCACATAATTTCTTTGGTAATATTCATAATTCAAAAATTGTTAAATAAGAATACATAAAAAGCTCTTAGAAATCAAGAAAAAGTAGAACATAATAATAAAAATATTACAAAGATAATAATAGGCAATCCAAAAAATGAAAAAATAAATTTAAAAATAATCAACCTCAACAATAATAAGAAATTACAAAGTTTAAAAATCTAAGAAATAGTTTCTCTATATAATACATTAGATTATAAAAGATTAATAAGTTTGATAAAATGTAATTTTGGATAAGGGGTTGGAAAAGGGGTATTCTCATGAAGTATAAAAAGGAGTATAAATTAGTAAACACTTTCTGGAAGGTAAAATTAACCTCAAAATAATAAAGACCATTTATGAAAAATCTACAACTAACATTATACTCAATGGCAAAAATACAAACAAAAACAATGAAAGGTTTTTCTCTAAGATCCAGGAAAAAGCAAACTTTTATTTAACATAGTACTGGAACAATTAGGCAAGAAAAAGAAGTAAAAGACATCCAAATCAAAAAGGAAAAAGAGAGATAAAATTATCTCTGTTTGCAGATATCACTTTATATATAGAAAACTCAAAAGATTCCATAAAAACAATGTTAGAACTAATAAACTAATTTGGTAAAGTTGCAGAATACAAAATCAACATACAAAAACCATTTGTACTATACTAATAACAAACTGTCCAAAAGGACATTAAGAAAACAATACCATTTACAATAGCATCAAAAAGAAGAAAATACTTAGTAATAAATGCTAACTAAAGAGAGAAAAGACTCATACACTGAGAACTACAAAAATTGGTGAAAAAAATTAAAGAAGACACAAATAAATGGAAAGACAACTTGTTTCCATGAAGTAGAGGATTTAATATTATTAAAATGTTCATACAATCCAAAACACTCTACAGATTCAATGCAATTCCTATTAAGTATTAAATTTAAATGCTCTTTTTAAAACCAAAATTCCCCATTTTGGAAGTTAGCCTATGAAGATAATTACCCAAGCACAGATATATGATCATCACAGAATGTTTCAGAATGGGGAGAAATTATCAACAACCTAAGTGCCCATCACAATGGTACAGTGGAATACTATGTAGTCATTAAAGTGTTTAGGAAGTTCTACATGAACATCCTAAAATATTCACAGCAAATTACTGAGTGAAGCAGCTATTACAGAGCAGAATATACACTATGTTCCCATATCTGTAAATGTACATATTTCTATATAGGGATATTTGCATATTTACGTATGTCCTAAAGCTCTACGGTGAGATTTGTGATTTATTCTTTATGATTTCCCCAATTTTGAAATGATGAACAATAATATGTTTTGTAATCATGGTTTTTTAAAGTGATTTTATTGCCGAAACTGGTTTGGCTCAGTAGATAGAGGGTTGGCCTGTGGATTGAAAGGTCCCAGGTTCAATTCCAGTCAAGAGCATGTACATTGGTTGCTGGCACATCCCCAGTGGGGGGCATGCAAGAGGCAGCTGGTCGATGATTCTCTCTCATCGATGTTTTTTTTTTCTACCCCTCTCTGTAAAAAATCAGTAAAGTATATTTAAAAAAATAATAATAAAGTGATTTTATTTTGTAGCGAGTGTGCAAGTGAGAGAATAAGGAAAACGGCCCACACAAGCATAACTGGAATGTGACTCTCAGCAAGAACAGCCCTGTAAAGTGATGGTGCATGAGCCCTGTCATGCATGTCAGAAGAGGACTTCTGGAGAGACTGGCCAGACCTGGAATCTCCCTTCTCTCCATCTACCCTAGTTCCGCCTCAGATTCCTCATTTGTCAAGCAGAATTGTTGTCACTTGCCTGTAATCATGGAGATAACAAGTGGAAGAAAACTGAACTTAAACCCAGGTAGCTGACCCAGAGCTCTGCATGACTGCTCCCCTGACTGCCCCGCCCTGCGTGCCTCCCTCAGCCTCTTACAGATTCCTATCACAGCCCCTGAATACTTAGCTGCAGTCCTTTCTTTATTATCAGTCATTCATGTTAGACTCGTAGAGTCACATGTGGATATATACTGTATGTTGAAATTAATTAAAATTAATAACATTTTAAAATTCAGTTCCTTGCATAGTACTCTCCAAGTCTATCCATGCTGTCACAAAGGGGAAAATTTCCTTCTTTTTTTATAGCCAAATAGTATTCCACTGTCAATAAATTCAATATGGATAAAGCCATAGTACATTTACACAATGGAATACCATGCAGCTGTAAAAAAAAAAAAAAAAAAAGGAAGGATCTCTTACCCTTTGAGATAGCATGGATGGAGGACCTGGAAAAAATTATGCTAAGTGAAATACTAGTAAGCCAGTCAGAGAAAGATAAATATCACATGATCTCTTTTATATATGGAATCTAAGGAATAAAATAAATTAACAAACATGATAGGACCACAGGCATGGAAGCATGAAACACATTGCCAGATCTCAGAAGGAAGGTAAGAAGAAATTAACCAAAGAACTTATAAGCTTATATGCATAACCCATGGACACAGACGATAGACTGGTGAAGGCCTGGGGTGGGGTGGGAGATGGGTAGAGAGGAGCAAAGAGGGGGATGGGGAACAGCTAAAGTACTCTCAATAATAAAACAAATTTTTAAAAAGAAAAATAAATTGCCCAGCTGGTGTAGCTCAGTGGTTGGGCATGGACCTATGAACTAGGAGATCATAGTTTGATTCCTGGTCGGAGCGCATGCCGAGTTAACAATTTGGTCCCCATGGAGCGGTGTGCAGGAGGCAACCGATCAATGATTCTCTCTCATTGATATTTCTATCTCTCTCTCCATTTCCTTTCCTCTCTGAAATCAATAATACATTTTTTTAAAAAGAAAGAAAGATAAATAAATAATAAATAAATAATAATTTGGTTCTTTAGTTGCACTAGGCACTTTTCAAACACTCAAAAGCCACACAAAGCTAATGGCTATTTTATATTGGAGAGAACAAACATAAAATATTTCCATCATCTCAGAAAGAGCTAAACTCCAAGAAGCCAGGAACGGTGCCCAGTTCACCACTGCGCTCTCAATAGCTGGGTGAGTATCTAGTACCCCAAGGCCCTCACTGAGTGAGAAATGAATGATTCAATCCATCAAGTGCAAGCACACTGATGTGAGGTGGGAAAGGCGGTTAGCAGGAGCTAACTTTTCAGCCAAGTCCTAAAAGTAATTATACAAATGGGTGGGTCCAGGGGAGGGGAGAGCATTCCGGATGGGAAAAGACATTCATTTAGTGAGAAATGTGAAGGGAATTGGCACGGCCAAGCTATTGTTCTCTAGCTCTTTTCTTGCTGCCAATTCAAAATCATCTTAGGCGGTGTTTTCTTATCAGACTTCCTCCAGTGTGCACTCGCCTCGAGTTGGTATTATTATAAGGTCTGCTCTGACTAATTGGGCTCTTGGCAGTTCAACAGTCAGGGCATTTTTTAAGTCTTTTAATTTTATTTTGTTTCATTATTAATTTTTGATGGGAGGTGAAGGCATGAACCCCAGAGAATTACAAGGAATTTTCCAAGTAACTTTCAACCCAAATGCCCACTAGCTGCAATGTTCATATAATGATTATTGAAATGGCTGTACACTCGATGACTCTGAGGTAGAGGAGGGGACAGCTGAATTCTTAGCAGGAATGCTGTTCATTCTCAGGCAAGAGATTCTAAACCAGTTCCTACTAGAGGCATAAAACAGAGCTGGTTCCAAACTAATTCTAAGAATCATCTCTTTTTTTTCAAGTTTAATATAAGCCAGACTCTATGAAACCCAGTTCTATTACTTACTAGTTGTGTGATAATCCTGAGCCTCAGTTTCCTCTTCTGTAAAATGGGGACCATAGAAAGGTTAGGAGTATTAAATAAGCTCATGTAAAGTTCTTAGTACAATGCCAGGTATATAGAAATTTAACTACATACACAATAAGTAACTACAATGTACATGTTTTTGCCATAGCTGTGTCTATAATTGACTAGTGTTATTAAGAATATAATAACCTTTATCATAAATACTATGTTAGCTGTAATTTATTAAGCTCCTGCTAAACACTAATCTTTACAACTTGGAAATTCATCATAACAATCCCACCTCACTACTACCCTGATCCAATCCATCATCACTCCATGCTTAGACTAGTGCAGTAGCCACTTGTCTGGTCCCCCAATGTCCACTTTGACTTCCCATATGACATTAGGGGTATCTTTTTAAATAGTAAATCATATCCCCTCGTCTCCCTATCTAAAACCCACCAGTGGCTACTCATTGAATAGAGTAGCAGAGCAGGAATTCAAATTTGTTAGCAATAAGAATTTAATTAAATATTCACTATATACAAAGCACCCGGTGTCTTATATTACTATTGTTCTTTCATTAGGGTGAGGAAACTGAGGTTCAGAGAGAATAAGTAACATACCAAAAAGACTGCCCTGCAAATTAGGGACAGGTGGGACTTGAATTAAATTAATTCACCCACATGAATCCGCAACTCTTGCTCTTATCACAGTGATGGATGGGTGGCCTCTAATCTCTGACTATAGAATGCAAGGACCTCATAACACAGGTATCCTCAGCCCATTTTCAGGCTGAAGGCCTGGGAAAGTCCATGTGAGTCTCTTGATTGTCCTGCTCCTTGAAAAAACCTTTCACAGAGAGGAAAAAGGATATGGGGTGTTCTCTTTGGTCACAGTCTCCTGTCCCTAAAACTCAGTCCTCCAGTCCTGTCTCAACTTGACATTCCACTGCCCTGACTTTGTGCTTTATCCCCATAATGTTCTTAGATTCAACACAAAGGAAATGTCTATGGCATGACTAACAACCATCTGAAATATCAAGCATTCTGTGTCCAACTTAGCAGGAGGCGCTCTGAGACACAGACACACCACTCATTTGTGTTTATATTGTCTTTTGCAGATGGACCAACTTGGAATTCAACTAATCCAACCTCCAGTGAATGGTTCTGCCATTTTGGTATCCACTAAACATTGATCACTTCTCAGGCTGATATTATGTGTTCTTCGTTCCTGACTATTACCAGTAACTTAATTTCACTATATGCCTGGTTACACATGTATATAATTTTCTATTTAAATATCTATATATATGTATATGTATTTATGTATTGAGTATATCCCATGTTTTCATGTCTATGCCTATACCTTCCATTATTAACTAGATGCTGACAACTCCCAAATTTATATCTCTGTCCCAGATATTGCTGCTAAATTCCAGACCCATATATCCAGCAGCCCACTCACATCTCCACTTGCATGTCTCACAGACACATAAACTCAGTAAGTCCAAAACTAAACTTATGATCTTTCTTCCAGACCCTGCTTATCCTCTCATGCTCCTTATCTTAGTAAATGGCAGCTGCCATCAAACCAGGTGTTCAAGCCAAAATACCTGAAAGCCATCCTGGACACCACCTCTCTCACTACCTACCACATCCATTTATCCCAAGCCCTGAAAACTTTAGCTCTTCAGGTTGTTTATTAATTAATCTATTCATTTATATAATAATCACTTATTCTGCAGCACTATATGAAAAATGGGTGATAACATGGTAAACAAGAGAGATACATTCTTTACCTCTTAGAACTATTAGTCATAAACCACAACAGCACATTTTATTGAATGAATGAATGAAGTGCGTACATGAAGATAGTTTTATACAAATAGAGACTTGAAATAATCTTACTAATGTGCAATTGCATATTTTGTACTAGATCTTATCAAGAGTCATTTATAGAGGGCTGTTTATCAGGTAGTAAGAGAAAATATTCATACTGTCTGCTCCTTTGATATAGAATTTAATAGTTTCTTATGGTTTTATATTATTATATTTGATTTTCACAAAAACCTTGAGAGAGGTATGCAGGATAGTTACTTTAATTCCTATTTCATAGAAGAAGAAACAGAGGGTCAGAGAAGTTGATTCCAAGTCAGTACTTTTTCTGCTATACCCAAGCACAGGGCTTTTCAATTATGCCTTTTTCTTATTGGTCCAAAAGTTGTGACACTACACTAAAGCACCCTAGTTTTATTTTCTATATATTAATTTTTCAAACATCTTCCTACTCTTAGAGGGACTCCCTACTAAGCGATCCTTCAAGAAAGGTCAAAGAGAACTCCCTGCTCTCTGACACCTGGAACCAGGCACATGACCTAACATCAGTCAATAGGAATTTTCCTCCCAGGAACACTGACCTAGGATCAGCCAGTGGGTTGTTCCAACTCAGGCCTGTGGCTATTGAGTAAGCAATTCAAAGACACAGAGGAGTTGAAAGTTTTTACCCAGAGGCATCAAGGTTCAGTGCTGTAAGCCTCGGGGTCCAGTGGGGGCAGCAGTGGTCATGTAGTGGCAGCGTGCTAACAAGGAACTTCAGGTTTGGCCTTACCTTGCTGGAATACATGTATTTCCTAAGCTTGTTTCTTTAGTCTTCCATTGATGTTTGGAAGCTACTCAATGTCTTTTCAATACATGCACTTTCTGTTAAAATCTGTTTCATGCATCCGATAACTCTGAGTGATACTCCTAGAGAAACCTTTATATGGAGAATTTAGATGTTCTCTGTAACATACTTGCCTCAGAGCAGGATTTATGGGTAGGTTGGTCTGGCTTGGGCCCTATCCAAGTTCCAAAATCTGAGGATGAAAGAGCTTTGAGTCACCTACAGAGTAGGCCCATAATAAAGACCACAAAAACCAAGGGCCAGCCAGTCTCTTATGTCCTCTGGACTCCTATCCATGCTATAAATCCGATGGCTGCATAAGCAACCTCAATATTTAAACAATTCATTACTAACCAGTCTAGTAAGTAACTGACTGAAAGGATATTGTGAGAGGATATTTACAAAATGGCCTTAATGAGAAGCTACCACTAAGAAGGATATAGACATAAACTTAGAGCAAAAGAAAGGCTGATTTATTAGAAAGACTAGTGAAGACTATTTAATAGGAACTTACTTATGCAGAGCAAATGTTGCATGCTTTCTGGAATTTCAGAGTCTTCAAATAAGTCTTGTTGTTAATCAAGAGGAAAAGACCCATAAAACTGAAATTAGCCTACAATGGAATCTTCCCAATATATTAAAACCTATCAACCATGTGGCTTACAGATCCAGTTCAAGCACTGAATCACTAACCTTTCAAAAACAGTTCTAATAAGATCACTATTATCATCTCTTCATTGTTTATTTTGCAGAAAAGGAAGTTGAAAGTCAAAAAGGTTAAGTGATTGGCCCAGGGTTACCCAGGTATTAAGTGGCAGAGCTGGGAGTAGAGCCCAGGTTTGCCTGGATCCAAAAGCCACATACCATTCTCTCCACTAAACCATGGCGTTGTTTTCCTTCCCAAGGCAATTGTCAAGATTGTTTGCCAAAAAGTGCTAACTAACAACTAGTGTCTTTGACAGTGGAATGAACAGGAAGTCTCTCAGTGGCCCGATGACATGTGGGAGTGGCTGCCATGAGATAATGGGTTTGTAGGGATGGGTCTGGCTGTCAGAGAGATGGGGTGATTTCTGACTTGGTTGTTTTTCTCAGGAAGTCCTTATTAATTCAGGAAGGGTGAGGGGGAAAAAAGGGGGGGAGGTTAGGAGTAGGGGAAGAAAAAGAGGCAGAGGAAAAAAAGAAAGAAAAATAGAAACAGAAAGAGATTGAGATATTGAGAAAGAGAGAGACTTTATTTTCATTTGTATCCTCACTGCTGAATGGAGTTCACTGGCCCCAGTCTAAACCAGCAGGTCCTCTCCAGAAGCAGCCCAGCTTCCTCAGCCCACCTCAGAAGCTTTTCGTCAGGGCCCTGTCCTGACAGATTCCCTTCATCACTCTTGTCTCTTGGCTGGACAAGAACCTCTTTGGAGCGACAGGATGTAATGCAGCTACATCTAATGGGATAAGAAATAGGAAATGGAATAACATTTTAGCCTTGATCAGAATGTTCTTAGAGATAATTTAAATAATGTATTATTTGTTTCATTTCGTTTTTTTAAAATATATTTTATTGATTTTTTACAGAGAAGAAGGGAGAGAGAGATAGAGAGCTAGAAACATCGATGAGAGAGAAACATCGACCAGCTGCCTCTTGCACACCCCCTATTGGGGATGTGGCCACAACCAATGTACATTCACTTGACTGGAATCGAACCTGGGACCTTTCAGTCCACAGACTGATGCTCTACCACTGAGCCAAACCGGCTTCGGCTGATTTGTTTCATTTCTTCATTTCACAATTTTCTGAAGGCAACGTTACCCTGCCCACCAGCAGCCCAAAGGGAACACTAGAAGATACAGGGGCTGGGTGGGAAGGGCAGCTTCTGGAGGGGGAGAAAAGCCATCCTGACAAAGGACTCACCTCCCCTGGGGAGACAGCACACCCCATACTGACTATGGGTTGACTGGGACAGAAACACAGGGAATGTTCCAGGGAGATGATTTTCCCCCTCTCTACTTGATCACTGCTATGAGAGGGATTTCCCCTGAACACTCCTGGTCTGTGTCCCCCCTCTCATTACTCCCTGGGGAGACAGAGTCAGTTACAAGGTTGGCAAACAAGAGCAAAATTGTCTATGTTTCTTTAATGGGTGGTACTACCTATCAAAAATCCCGTAGGGTAGTGGTCATCAAACTCATTAGTCAACAGAGCCAAATATCAATAATACAACGATTGAAATTTCTTTTGAAAGCCAAATTTTTAAAACTTATACTTCTTCTAATGCCACTTCTTCAACATAGACTCGCCCAGGCCGTGGTATTTTGTGGAAGAGCCACACTCAAGGGGCCAAAGAGCTACATGTGGCTTACAAGCTGCAGTTTGCCGACCACGGCCCTAGGGAATCATTGGCCTCTCTTCCCTGTTCTCCTCTACCTAGGAGAAGTGTGGGGAGTCAACCCAATGTTCACACAAAGTGCTTGCTCCTGTCATAAAGGTGACCATTTGGCCTCATCCACCTTGCACCTCTGTCTTGGTTTTAGAATCAGATAATGACTGTGCCCTCTCAAAAAAAAACTATCAAAAATTATGATTATTGCCGAAACCGGTTTGGCTCAGTGGTAGAACGTCGGTCTGCGGACTGAAAGGTCCCAGGTTCGATTCCGGTCAAGGGCATGTACATGGTTGTGGGCACATCCCCAGTAAGAGGCAGCAAGAGGCAGCTGGTGTGCAAGAGGCAGCTGGTCAATGTTTCTCTCTCATCGACATTTGTAGCTCTCTATCCCTCTCTCCTCCTCTTTGTAAAAAATCAATAAAATATATTTTAAATTTTTTTAATTATGATTATTGTTATTAATATCATAATTTTCTTGCTTCTGAGGCAAACCTATTAACAACAAAAACATAGGATTTTCATCTCTATTGGTTTAGTCAGAGATGTCCCAATACCACTGCAAACAGCCTCAAAATCAGCACCTGTCCCCTCATTTCAACTCCTCTGCACTTTTCACCCCAAACCACCCATCCATCATGCCACACCCACATATCTTCCTGTTTCTTAGCACATAAACTTTTCCCTCAGAAACAGGGTACTGAGGTCACTTACAATACAAAGAGAAGCTGTCATAAATAATGCTGAGATCCACATTGTCCCGCTGTCTTGGCCAGGCCTTGTTAGGTCAGCTTTGCAAAAGCCTGCCAAGCATCTAGGAGGAAAAAGGGTCCTACCCTATTGCTGCTCAGTCCCTGGAGTGCTTGCAGATATTCCTATCCGATGACGTAAAGGAATTAGACAACAATATGGTGTCACAGGGTACGTGGGGATATGTGTGTACACAGAAAAGTGTTTGGGTGTTTGCAATAGCCCAGATATCTGCATCTGTCTGTGCCCAGGTCTCTGACAAACCCAGTGCCTCCATTTCCAACTAAGAACCAACTGTTGGCAACTTCTGAATTTATAAGGAACCAGAAGGAGGGAGTGATGGTACAGAATGTCTAGTGGGCTGAGGCGACAATCTGGTGATGGGAGGCAGGGGAACTTGAGGAAGAAGTGATTGTACAGAGAACATGGGGTGCTAACAGAGATTTGGGGGAACACAAAGCTTTCCAATGCCATATTGGCCCTTGGCATTGTCACCATCTGAGGGACTCTTCCCAAGGCAATTATAAGATGTCCCTCATAAAGTGTGTGTGCGCCATTTCTATAGAACTCAAGGATTGATGTGATTTTCAAGGACAGGTTTGGGTCTGAGTCACCTTATACCCCAGCCCCCAGCAGAGCCTGGCACAGGTTAGATGCTCAGGAAATGTTGGTTGAGGCAGAGAAGCATCTTGCTATGTTGAAAATGCATAGCCACTCCTAATCAACAGCATATCATTTCAGACCACCCCTCCCCCAGGGGGCTCCACAGTGAATCATCTGATATATAGTTCCTGTCAAAAGCCTGGCTGAACTATGATGCTCCAGAGGAAAAGAAAAAGATTTACCAAGATTTCTCCAAAGTTTCCACCATCACAAAGAGGAGAGGGGGTGAAATTGTGATTCATTTGAGAGTTTTCAGACACCACCTAAAAAGCAGCCTCAACCCCACTGCCCGATAGAATTATTACTTGAAGAGTGGATGTCTCATTTCACCCTCGGCTTTGTTGAGAGCCAATAAAGCAACCAATAATGCATGGAATGTCTCTGTATTAAAATAAAATACTGCTATTGTGGACATCTTCCATTAGGGTGGCCAGTGTCCCTTTTCTTTTGCTTTAGGCAAACTCATAAAGAGATGAAGTAAATCCACATGGTGTGGAGTGCAAGGGAGGCCCCAAGTGCTTAGCCTAGCAGAAGCCAAAGAGGCCTTTTCATGGCAATGTGCTGTAGCAGCCAGGGGGGATGGCAAGTAAACTGGCAAAGACAATACATAGTCAAAAAGGGACAGGTGGCTGCAGAAATACATGAGAGAATCACTGATGCAAGCAAAGGAAATATTCCTGGAGAAAGAGACAGCTAGGCAAAGAACGTGAATATTCCATAGAAGTTGAAAAGGAAATGGGGGTGGGGGTAAAAATTCCTGATAGAGGGAACAGCATGGAAAAAGGCAAGGAAGAGTATGCCTTAACTAAGGAAAAGGAAAACAGCTTACTATGTCTGGAATAAATAAGTGAAAGATGAAATAAAAACCATAAACAGGGTTTCTCAATATGGTGAGCAACATGTAAAGCTTTTTTCAAGGACAAAGGGATGACATTGGAAGGTTTCAATTGGGGAATTACTTACCCAGAGAGACATTTTCAAGATATTTCTTTGGCAGCAATGTGGTCCGTGAATGCTGGGTGTGGGGAGAAGAGATCTAAAAGGATGAGTGTGCGGTATTGGGAGTGAGGTTGCAGCAGGAAGGTGACAGAAGGGATGGAGAGGAGCAGATGGGTCTGAAAGATATTTTAGAAGTAGAATTGATAGGACTTGGTGAATAGTTGCATATGGGGCTGAAAAAAAGAAAGAAGTCAAGGTTGACTCCCAGCTTGTAATACAGAGGACAAGACTTAGCCATGATTTCTCATGCTCAGGGTCACTGTGAAAGATCAAGAATAAGACATATGCCAGGCATGTTCTCCTGAACTTTCTATACACGAGGCCAAGCCTAGTCCATCTCATCAGCTCTGTTCCAGCTTCGCATGTCTGCCACTGGATGGATAGACAAGTGGGCTTTTTTTACAGATCTATCTTGGCTTGGGGGGGTGGGGCACTGGAAACCTGCTTAAGCTTCCAGGTCTTCGTCCTGTACCCCAGCATGGCTTCCCGGAAAGTTCTGAGTGACAGCAGGGATGGCGGTTGGTTGATGTCCTCAAGCCACAGCAGCAAGGTCTCCCCCAACCTCCCCCCCCACCCCAATCCTAAGAGTGGGACCCACCCAAGGCCCTTTTGAGCAGAGTCCCTCTTCCAGCCTTACAGGGAACATTCTGACTCTTAGCAGAATTCCTGACAAAGGCCCCCCGGAGTCCATTCCTTGGATCTTATCCTAGCTCTTAAGGAAACTGGAACTTGGTGTAACCACTTAAAAACTAGGACAGCTGCCGAAACTGGTTTGGCTCAATGGATAGAGCATCGGCTTGGGGACTGAAAGGTCCGGGGTTCGATTTCGGTCAAGGGCATGTACCTTGGTTGCGGGCACATCCCCAGTAGGGGGTGTGCAAGAGGCAGCTGATCGATGATTCTCATCGATGTTTCTCTCTCCCTTCCTCTCTGTACAAAAATCAATAAAATATATTAAAAAACAAACAAACAAAAATAAACCTAGGACAGCTGAGAAGGTGGGGTGTGAAATAGGGAGTCGGCCACTGTGCTGTAACACCCCAAGGGGCACCATTGGCACTGTAGCTATGGGAGCCCTCTGGAGTTACATGGTGCTGGCAGTCTAGCTCAGGAATTAAGAAATCGGGACCCACCCCCAAATGTTTGATCTGTCTGCATCATCCCCACCCCATACTCCACATACATATCACAGACCTCAAGCTTTGCCTCTGAGTGCAGGGCACTGAGTTCCTTTCACAGGTTTCACATACCCTGACATTCTATATCTAAGACACCGTGGTGTTTCCCAAGGTTGCAATATGCAGCACATTTGTACTGAGAATGTAAAGGAAAGTCCGAAAGGAAAAACAAATGTCAAAACTGAAGAGCCCAGGCTTGACAAAGAAGCTAGGAAAAGCAGGCCTGGGACACGAGAGCACTCTGCCCCCTGCCAGGGCTGCAATTTCTGCCAGAGCCCAGCCTTGGACTGCTCACCCACCCCTCCCATGTGTCCTCTGCCAGCGCCCCATCTGCTCACCCCCACCAGGGCTCCTTAATGACAAGCCCATGCCTCCCTGGGCTCTTTCTGAGCCAGAGGGATGCATTGTTGACATTTATCTCTGGGTCACTCGATGACATGATCATAGGATACACAAAGGAGGCATATTTGTAATAAATCCTGAACAACAAAAAAGACACTAAAAAGTTGGGTTTCTCTCCAGTGCCCTTGGCAAAAGGAAGCAAAGA